CAGGACCCGCATTCCCAGAGAGATTCCGTGTGTCCCATTCTTGCATCCTGCAGGGCTGCCCTGAGGCTGTGGGGATGGGCACACCCAGAGTCCCCCAGAGGAAGTAGGCAGGAAGAAATAATTTCTAGAGTTGCCTGCTCATCAGGGTTGGGTTTTTTCTTCACCCCTCAGCAGAGGTGGGAAGATGCAGCCGCTAGATTTGCCAGGGCACAGGAGACTTCTGCTTCCCGAGGTTCCCAGGTACCCAGCAGAGATGCCTCAAACATAAAGCATCATATACACCCCAGACCACAGGGATGTTGTGCCAAGCTGGGACTGTTGATGTGGGTGTAACAGGGTTACAACAGCCTGCATAGTGCCCCATGCCCAGCCCAACCCAGGACCAGGGGCTCTGGGACCCCACACCATCACACCATGCCAACAGTAACTCCACACTCATCCTTCCTTTCTCCTTGCCAGAATTTTTCAAGTTCAAAGGCTTTGGGAGCCTGAGCAGCATTCCCCGCGCCTTCACCTTCCGGCGTGTCTCTGTGGTCCCCAGCTCACCTGAGAGTCTCAGGCCACATCTCCAGCCTCCCCATGGCTTCCTGGGAGACCCATTTGACAGCACCCAGGATGATCTCAACACCGTGCCCAAGAGCCCTGGCCCCTACGCCCAGTCATCGAACATGTACTCCCACATGGGCACCATGCCCAGGGTGAATCTGGGCAAGGCAGGGAAGAGCATGGGCAAAGACAAGAGTAGCCACAACTGCTGGGAGAAAGGGACTCCCAAGTACAAAACCTCCCAGACAGCCCTGCTCCCCAGCCTCAAGTGCCCTGAGGTGTCCAGCACACCTGGCCCTGGCACAGACTCACCCTTGGCTGTTGGACAAGCAGAGCAGGAGGAGGAAGAAGCTGAACCTGGGGACACCCTGGAGGGAGCAATGGCCAGGACAGACCAGGAGCCTGTGGAAAATGTCTCCTGCCCTAGGACACAGACACCGAGCTCCAGCCCAGCTCCAAACCCCAGCCAAACCACAAGCCCTGATGCAGCAGCTGGAGCAGAGACCACTGCTGGGGATCTGCTGGAAAAGGGACAAGAACATCCTGACAAGATCTCCCCAGACAGGTATAGCCCTTGAGGTTTGCTCAGCCTTCTGCTAAGACCCCTCTTTTCCCCCTCCAGGGCAAGAGGAGGGGGTTGGGACAAGCCAGGGTCACTGCAATGTCCCCCCGTGCCCACGGTGCCAGCGGGATGCACCTGGCCGGTGGGACAGCACAGCTGGAGCATGGTCAGGTCAGCGGCTCCATGGGAACGAAGTTTCCTGTGGGATTTCTGCTCCCTCCTGTTTCCGGACGGGGTGGAAACATCTCGCAGCCCCGCTCTGCCCCGGCATCTCTTTGTCCTGCGGCGGCTGCGTTCCAGCACCAGGATGTGCTGCTGCGGAGAGCTCACATCATCTCTGTTACAGCCTCCTCCGCCTCTCACTCTCCTTTCCACCCCCTCTGTCCTCTCGCCCTCTGCCGAGCAGCACTGCCTCTCCCAAAGCACAGGGGCAAATCCTGAAACCAGACGCTCTGTCCGCATTTCATCACCTGCCAGTAAACCCCCACTCTGGGCACAAACCCCCGCCAACTCCAGGCACAATCTCCCCCTCCGGGGGAATTTGGAAGTTCAGCCTTCTGAGATGACGGATGGATTTTTTGGAGGGCTTTGACCGCAGAATCAGACAGAGGGATTTTTGTCCCCCAGCCCCATAGCATCTGGGCAAAAGGGGCCAAATGCGATCCCAGCCCAGCAGGGTGTGCGAGACTGGGGACACAGGCAAAAGCGACTCCAAATTTCTCACGCAAACACTTCTCCCCCTTTCCCTGGCCTGACTCTCCTCTGTCTGCACTCAAGTGGCCCCTGGTGTCCCTGTTCCCTCTGCACCGCCCCGGAGCCGGGGGCTCCTTTTCCTGGCACTGAGCGTTCGGGAGGTCCTGGAGCGGGGTGAGAAGGAGAAATTGGTGCCGGCGGTGGGAGCCGGGCTGTGCCGGCCACACATTCCTGCCGGCCCGAAGGGG